GGCGGGGCAGAGCATGACAAGATAGCTCTCGTAGCGCCCGCAGCTAGATTGAAGCAACAACTCCCCTCAAACCTCGTCCGTAGCAAGGGAAGCGCCCGCCATGGAAGCAACGCGCGAGATGCGCAGCAGTCTCAGCTTCGATGCGTGCATGTTGGATAGGATTAGTCTGTGCCACATCTCGGGTGATGTTGTCACAAGCCTAGTTCGTATGCGTATATGTAAGGCTTTCTGAGAGCGAGATGCCACCTTGAGTCCGGAATCTTTTATGCGTAGGCAAGGCAAGCTGCAGTTGAGGATGTTTTGTAGGTGATGCTATCAGGAATTGCAGCGCTGGAGGATGAGATCTTGAAGAGCAAGGGTGACCTTGACGAGGTTGAGTCAGAGGACAGCTGGCTGTTTTGTTACCGCGTAATTATGTGCCACGTAGATGTGGCAGGCGCAGTCTGTTCGTCATCGCCATTTCAGTCAGACCTTCATATCGGGTGCCTCTAAGGCAGAACTCAGGCAAGCTTATGCCTTGTTGCAAGAAGTTCATATGCGTCCAGGACGAACAGAAGGAGTCGTCCGGTTATTACGACTTCAGCGTAACTTGGGCTGGAATATGTCTTTTGAGCTTGTGTGCGAGATCGCGGTGCAAATCATTGAAACTGCCAACAAATTGCATTCTCACGCCCCAAACCTGCCGCAGGAACATCCTAAAGGTTGATAGATTACTATGGCATGTGCAAGAGGCTTTTCAAGTTTCGCTTGCTACGATGCACTTGCTCGCAGCCGCGGCACGCAGCTCTGGGAGGCAGTGAAGCTGAAGAGCCAGGCGCTTCGCCAGCGCACCGCCGCTTGGGCTTCAGTTCTTTCAATGATGATAACATGGGAGGGTTGTAAAGGGAGATGGACGGATCAGGCATAACGTAACGGAGCATCACACGGAAAATCAAAGCGCAGCTGGCTTTCCACAGGGGTTTATGACAGGGATATGCTAAGCGCAAGGGTATGCAAGGGTCCTGCTGCCCAGTCTCTCATGCTTTCAGTACACAATGTCTTGCAGAGAAGAGACGCTCAAGTTTGGCAGGTCCTTCGGCTTGGTGTTGGGTCGGTGGGTAGGTAGGTAGAGCCTCAGGCTCCACTCTTGCTGCAGTTTCACCTTCCAGGTGTTTATGCCTCACTCGACAGGTCAAGCTCCTGGAGCGGCTACAGGACTCTGCTGGGGCCACTTAGCTTCACCTTGAGACTGATGCCCTGCTTACTTTAACTTAGGTTTGGAATCATACAAAAGTAGGTACGTATCCTAGAAAAAGGGGGGGGCCAGCCATAGGGAAGCTTTGGGCAGGTCCAAGTCCTACGGACGTTGAACGGGTTTGGGAGGATCCGGATCGTTTTGGAATTTCAGTAAAGCAATCCAACCCCATCTTATCATGAGCAAAGGGGGTCTTGAGTTGAGGTGCAGGGAGCCGTACTGGGCTCGTGAGTTCGCATTTGTACATGATTTGTAGATGACGTGAAGCAAGGAATCTTAAGTTTCAACACCTTCACATACCGCTTGACAGGATAGCCTACTTCTGCTAACGTGTATCCTTCGTGAATTCACGGTCCGGCTCCTTCCAGGTTATTTGGAGTTGAAGGTAGTGGGCCATGATCTCTGGACCGTGCTGAGGTGGCTGAGTCTGAGTCTGAGGAGGCAAAGGTTCCAGCCAAAGTGCCTCGGTTCTGGTCATTGCTATAGCATGTGCATCTGGAATCTAGAGCGGTAAGGGTCATGGGAACTTAGAAGATGTACCTGAGTCTGTAGTCCTACTGTAATTGATTTGAGGGTTCAGATTATGCCGCGAGCTGCGTTTCTCTTAGGAGATGCAAAGATAATGGCATCTCTGCAGGGACAAACCCGATCTTAGTTTTGGAAACTCATATAACCCCATTGTAGTTCTTTCCATCTTCTCTCCATTATCCCAATAAACCCCCCAATATATACTATATTATACTATAGTAGTTTCCACTTGTTCCATCATCCCTACATAGCCCTATTGATATAATCTAACCTAAATCCCAATCCCCAGCTACAGTGCTCAGACTCTTGGCGCTGAGGCAGTTAAACTGCCCGGCCTGGCGTTGACGAAGGCAAAACCCGGGAGGGGACCCGGAAGCACGCAAAGATAGTTGGGGGTTTCCTAAAATTATGGGTACCCTTTTGGGGGGTCCTGTAATAAGGGCTAGAGTATTTTGGGGTCCATATCAGGGTCGCGTATTTGGGGAAACTACCATTTATTGCCTTGTGGAAATCCCCACTACACCCGGGGTTTGCATCTTGCCCCCTCCGGTTCTCATGGCCTTGCGGTGCTCTTGAACCGAGTAGTTGCAAAATTGGACGAGCTGGCATTAAGAATCTCTTGTGCAACCCTGTTGCAGGGCGGTCGATCAGAGCAACTGGAAGGCGGTCTTCCCAAAAAGAAGCGATCACCCTATGATTTGAGGTAACATGCCGGGCTGGGCTTGTTTCAGGTGGCCTACGTCACTTTTAAAGTCCAGCTCTGTCGCTCCCTTTCGCTGGTTTGTCCAGCGGGCAAAGATGCCAATCATCAGCACGTTATCAAGTCGGACAACAATTTCTGTACCTAGGCGCAGGGCCTCAGCGGTACAGGGTTGATGGCTCTGCAGTTCAACA